AGATGGCCAAAGTATTGGAGCCTCAGCTTCAGCATCTGTCCTTCCAGTGAGCACTAAGGGTTGATTTCCTTCAGAATTGATAGGTTTGTTCTCCTTGCAGTCCAGGGAACTCTCAAGGGTCTCCTCCAGCACCACAATTCAAAGGCATCAATTCTTCGGCGGTCAGCTTTCTTTATGATCCAGCTCTCACTTCCATACATCGCTACTGGAAAAACCATAGCTTTGATTATGCGGACCTTTGTCAGCAAGGTGATGTCTGCTTTTTAAGATGCTATCTAGGTTTGTCATCGTTTTCCTCCCAAGAAGCAGGCGTCTTTGGGACTAGTGGCCATGATCTTAGTTTTTTTGATGTTGAGCTTCAAACCATTTTTGCGCTCTCTACTTTTACCCTCATTAAGAGGTTCTTTTATTTCTCCTCACTTTCTGCCATCTGAGTGGTATCATCTGCATATCTGAGGTTATTGATATTTCTTCCGGCAATCTTAATTCCAGTTTAGGATTCCTCCAGTCCTCCCTTTCCCATGATGTATTCTGCATATAAGTTAAATAAGCAGGATGACAATATACAGCCTTGTCATCCTCCTTTCCCAATTTTGAACCAATCAGTTGTTCCATATCCAGTTCTAACTGTTGTTTCCTGTCCCACATATGGATTTCTCAGGAGATACATAAGGTGGTCAGGCATTCCCATTTTTTTAAGAACTTGCCATAGTTTGCTGTGGTCCACACAGTCAAAGGCTTTTGCATAGTCAATGAAGCAGAAGTACATGTTTTTCTGGAACTCTCTGGCTTTCTCCATAATCCAGCGCATGTTAGCAATTTGGTCTCGAGTTCCTCTGCCCCTTCGGAATCCAGCTTGTACTTCTGGGAGTTCTCAGTCCACATACTGCTGAAGCCTACCTTGGAGGATTTTGAGCATAACCTTGCTAGCGTATGAAATGAGTGCAATTGTACGGTAGTTGGAGCATTCTTTGGCACTGTCTTTCTTTGGGATTGGGATGTAGACTGATCTTTTCCAGTCCTGTGGCCACCGCTGAGTTTTCCAAACTTGCTGGCATATTGAGCGCAGCATCTTAACAGCATCATCTTTTAAGATTTTAAATAGGTCAACTGGAATGCCATCACCTCCACTAGCCTTGTTGTTAGACAAGCTTTCTAAGGCCCACTTGACTCCACTCTTTTGTTGACTATGAGGGCTACTCCATTTCTTCTATTGGATTCTTGCCCACAATAGTAGATATGGTAATTGTCTGAATTGAATTAGCCCATTCCCGTCCATTTTAGTTCACTGACGCCCAGGATGTCGATGTTGATTCTTGCCATCTCCTGTTTGACCACATCCAGCTTACCAAGGTTCATAGATCTTACATTCCAGGTTCCTATGCAGTATTTTTCTTTGCAGCATCGGAGTTTCCTTTCACTTCCAGGTGTGTCCGCAGCTGAGCATCCTTTCGGCTTTGGCCCAACCACTTCATTAGCTCTGGAGCTACTTGTACTTGTCCTCCGCTCTTCCTCAGTACCATGTTGGACGCCTTCCGACCTGAGGGTACCATCTTCCAGTGTTAGGTCCCTACAAAAGGCTAGGTTTCTGTTCATGGGCTATTCTTGACAAAGATAGTGAAGGACAAAGATAGTGAAGTGGCTTGCCACTTCCTGCTCCAGGTGGATCACATTTAGTCAGAACTCTCCACTATGACCTGTCTGTCTTGGGTGGCCCTGCACAGCATAGCCCATAGGTTCTCTGAATTACTCAAGCCCCTTTGCCACGACAAGACAGCAATCCATGAAGGGGATCTTGCTTTATACTAGCTGTTTAAGTGAAGCTGTCCACCTTACTCAGATAACGCCTCTACAGGGTGGTGGTCTACACAGGGGACCTGTAATGCTTTCAAACTGTTGATCAAATGGATGGCTCCTGTCACTGTAAGTGTCTCCTTACCAGGAGAAGCAGCCCCAAGTGATGGGTGGCCTCTCAGCCCAATCTGTCTTTAGGAGCCCACATGCCTCCATATGTAGAGTTTTACTTACCCCAGGTTTCATTATTACATAATGCTAGCCATCATAGTTGGATATCACACTAAATTGTTCCTTTTCTTGCTTTCCCCAACCTCTTGCAGGCCTGGCTCACAGAGATCCATGAATATGCCCAAAGGGATGTGGTCATTATGCTGCTAGGCAATAAGGTGTGTACTATTTCCTGTTGATGATGCTGATCTGTGTTGTTTCCTTGTGATCGCTGCTCAATTCCTTAACTTTGATCTATTTTCTCACTGAGATCTTCAATTATCGTTGGGTGTACCCCAGTTCTCTGCTGTAATCAGCAAGCAAGAGAAATTTCTTTATGCTGCTTCTGCTTTCAATAACTCTGTCCATGGATGAGTACTTCCAAGAGGCTTCTTGTGGGCTGCAACAACATTATGAGCTATGGGGGCTTGCTCCCCACTCACCTTGCCTGGTGCATTTTCCAATTGTCTCAGTGTCTTAGAAATGCTAGGCTGTCTCCTCTGTCTGATCAGGTATTAACAAAAGACGTTCCTACAGTATCTTAAAGATGTAGCCATTGTGAAAAAACTTTCATGGACTAAATCAGATACACAAAGTGACATCGAAATGAAGCACAGGTCAAGGTGGGGGGAAGAAAGAGAGAGAAGTAAACAGTAGGGCCAAAAGGTCTTCCAATGCAAAGCCGGAATGTATATAAGATAAGCTATATATACACAAGACAGCCCAGGTGTTTGGAGTAAGGATTAAGATGGTACCAGGAGTTGTTTTTATATGGAATGTGGAACAGATTTGTTAACCCTTCAACTGCTGTTAAAAGGAGCAGACTTAGAAAACTTTCAAGGAGGCAACTGGATGGTTGGGTTTTTTCTTTCTTTCTAGATTTTAAAATGTTGTCTTATGACTTTGTTTTGCTCAGTTTCAGATTTCTTCAGGGTATTTTTTTTGCTCAGCTTCCAATTCAGCTTTGATCCTAGTAAGGAAGCTTTAGGTTTGAATTAGGGGGTCTATGGAAGTCCTCCAATCCACTCTGTACCTGAGTAGACAATGTACAGTTGAGGGCTGAAGCATTCCTGTACTCCCCGGGAAACCTTTTTACCCACTCCATCTCCTGGTCTGTAACATTATCAATGCATTTCCGGAAATGCATAGGAAGAGCTAATAAATCCCCTAAATAGGGGGAAACATGAACAGCAGTGATTTGTAAAGCTGCTCAGCACCCCTGCTTGTTTGAACTCAAAGCCCACACAGCAATCACCCTTCCAGAAAGCTTCTTTTCTGAAGCCAGCAATTCAGTCTGTGTTATTTTTTATTTTCCCTTTCCTCGGTTCAAATCCTTGGATTATCTTTTTAACTCTACAAATGTTGAATGGGTTATTATGGAGGATCTGTTGCTCCACCCCTCAGGATAGACAGTGGCTTCTTGCTCCACCCTGTAGTTGCCCCAAAATCATAGAAATGCCCTTGATTCGGTCTAATTTAGCACATTTGTCCAAAGGCAGTGCCCATGTTTAATTCTGTATATATTTATAAAAGCGTATGTAAGATACATGTATGTAACGAAGATATGTGAACAAGCATTTGCCACCTTGCTTCCTTCACTTATGTGTGTGTCATCAGTCCATTCCACTTTCCATGACTGGTTTGGTCATGTCAGAAACACGGGCAGTGTACTTCTCCATGTCAGCCTATTTTAACCAAGTTTCCCATTGTGATATACTGCAGTAAGGGCTGCAGAATCTGTCACAATTTAAATATTATAGAACAACTCATACATTAAAAGAAAATGCTAGTTCTAAAAATAGTATAACCCAGCATAAACAAAAAAAGGGTTATTGATGAGGATTCCTCCAGTTGGGTTGAAGTAGTTCATCCTCTCTGCTTGTCTGTATCTCTGTGTTTTTCCTCATCACAAGCCCAGATCTCACAAAGGTTTGTTCTTGCCATGCTCTCACACAAAATGCTCCTGGAAGGCATCAAGTCTCGTGGTTTATAGCGTTGGTGAACAAGGTTCCCGCCAAGTTGGGCACACAACTCCTCTTCCCTCCATGCAGCTCTCATCCTTCTCCACACAGCAGTCATGTTAGGTTCTGGTCGTGATTGAACCCAGTGTATGGGGGGACAGAGTCACGCATGCACGCAGGGGCAAAGCCGGACGCTTGGGAGCCGGAGCCCCACCCAGCAGGGCTGAAAATTAGAGGGTACGTTGCTAGTAAAGAAAGGAGATCTTGACATCAGGACAGACTGGAAAAAAACACTGTAGGAATGGTATCTGCCATTGTGTATACTGGCCTTAAAAAGAAAATTTCCAGAACATGATGCGAGAAGCATCCTTAAATTCATTAGATAAAATGGGTAAGATAAATTAACCAGCAGAAGATGAGAAATTAACAACATGTTACTAGAACAGCAAACCAACTGCAGGGAGTAGAGAATGCTGTCTTTATGATGTGGCTAATGCATACAGTTAGATGTTGAGCTGGAAGGGGAACAAGAAATGTTTTCATGACAAAACAGAATAGTTTCTTTACTTCCTGGAACTGAGAGACATGTGGTCAGAATGTTTTGTTTTGTCTTTTTTACAAATGAGGCATTGTGGGATATTGTTGTTGTTTGTGTGTGCAGCAGCAGCAACAAAAGAATAAAGAGAGGATACATTAGCTGACCAACAGCTTCCAGCAGAGGGCATTGATGGCCTGAGATTTTATTCACTCAGTCTATTTTGCTTTTGACCACTATGCCATGCTAACTACAAATTTCATCCTTCCTGCTACCATGACCATCTTGCCTCAGGGTTGAGGGAAGTGCCTGCTAACGTGAAGTGGCTACCCTAAGGTAATTTTGAGGTGACTGCAGGAAATTGATATTTTGAAGAAGAGCTAAAATGGGATCTGTTGGGATGCCAGGCCCTTTCTGCCTAGTACTGTTACAGTTGTTTGATTGTCAAGGGACTCTTCTTGATCTTAGCCAATGCAAATAACCTCAAGATGAAAGTATTGTGCTGTGTGACCATGCTCTGCCTCAGCTTATCATCTTTATTTTCCCTCTTTTGTCTGCAGGCTGATGTAAGCAGTGAAAGAGCAGTAAGAACGGAAGATGGGGAGTCACTAGCCAGGGTAAGTGGATAAACACAGGTACCAGGAAGTGCCTCGTAATGTAGAGTGGGCAGAATGCTGAACCACCTTTTTTTTCACTGAGCAGTTCAGCCAAACAACACCTTAATTCCATAACTCCTTAATATTTGGTTGCGAGGAGGGGGTGGTTTGACTTTGAGGTGCCAGGAAAAGGACATGGAAAGGAGTCAATAGCTACAGCCAATCTGTGTGCTGTGTTTTCTCCTCAGGAATATGGAGTGCCTTTCATGGAGACCAGCGCAAAGACCGGTATGAACGTGGAACTGGCGTTTTTGGCCATTGCAAAGTGAGTCATAGGCTGCCTCCGCTCCAAGGAATAATGGCAGCATTTGTAACCATCAGAGATGTTCGGCCATCTTGTTTTCATATCAAGCTTTTCCCCATGACATGTCGGTGTAGCATTAATGCCTTTTGCTACCATAGAACATCCAAGTGGGGTGGCTAGTAGACCATCATTGACTTCCCTAAATGAAGTGTTAATGATTATGTAGCTATCATATTCTTCTACCCCTTGGGTTCTACCCCTTAAATTAAAAGGCTTTCGTTGCTTTAGTTTTTCTGAGTTGGAACATTTTCCAACAGGTGTAAGTATTTTACTCATTTATTTATTATTATTTCCATACTGCACTATTAGTGTGAACACTCTCTGAGTGATTCCTAACATACAATTAAAAATAAAAATACAGTAAAAACCAGTTACTAGCTAAACCAATAAACCTACCTTTAAACAAAGTTATACAAATTAAAATACATTTTAAACTGCAATAGTTCAATACTAGTAGAAAGCAGCTTTATATAATTCTGCCTTGATTAGCTTCTTAAAAACTGAGAACGATGGCACTTAGCAAATCTCTGAAACTCATTCCAGAGGGAAAGTGCCGTGACCGAGAAAGCTCCATTCCTGGTGCTAGCTCTTTTGGCCTCTTCAGATGCAATTTTTAACATGAAGGGCTGCGATGCGTAGGTGGGATGGGTGGCTGCTTTGTGGAAGAAATGTTCCAACAAGCATCAAGATCCTAAACCATCCTGATAGGAATCCAGCCAGTATTGTGAATAGTCACATTATAGATTGATGTAATGGCATTAGGACATGGTCTATTTTGTTTCAATCCTTTTGCTCAAAAAATCTCTTAATGCTAAAAAGGAGATTACTTCTTCTATCCTGCTGCCATCCTTGCAGTGAGGTCTCTTCTTCTCCCACCACTTTTGCTTCTTTCTCGGCTTGTCGTAGGCAGTTCTGACCCTTAACTCCCATCTCCCCTTCTGTTGAGGAGCCAGATTATTTGGAGGCCTCTCTTTTTTGAACTCTTCACACTCTTCGCTGTGTGAGAGAACATTCAAGGGGGTGTGTCACTGACTTCCAAGGTCTCAGCCATGATGGTGGGACTCGCTGTCAGCACCCTTGGGGGTGGGCGAGGGATATGAAGATGCCGTGTTCCTGTCATGCTTGCTTTGTCGTTCCATCGTATGGCTAAACTGAGACCTGTTTCCCACAAACCAAAGTATATTTTTTCCACAGTAAGGGAAGGGGTCTTTCAGCAGAGACGCCATCTTAGCGGTGGTTTTGCCTGTGTTCTTTCAGAGAACTCAAACAACGAGCTGTCAATCAATCAGAGGAGCCCAGATTCCAGATCCACGACTATATTGAGTCGCAGAAGAAGCGCACTAGCTGCTGTGCCTTCCTTTGAGGGAGACGGATGTAAAGGCGGCCAGGGAGACCTTGTGCCAAGAAAAGAGGTCACGGCGCAGACTGGCACTTTGAAAATGCAGGGGAAGGCACTGGCTAGTTTGGGGGGGGGGGGTTGATCCTCTCCAAAGACAATATTTTTTAGAGAATGCTGTTTGTAGACGATAAGAAGTGTGTTGTGCCTGGTTTTTGGGGGGAAAGGTGTGTGGGGGGCATATATGAATGTGTGTGTGTGCTTGCGGACGTGCGCAAGGTATTATTACAAAGGCCAAGTGCGCCCACACGATTGGCTGAAATATGCTTCAAGCAGAGATGTATACCAAGGCTCAGCTTTTCCAGAGTTAGAAGGAAAGGGATGGGCCTCACCAAATCTAATCAAATTCTGTTTGGCTGCCATGCCACTGTCTTTCACCACCTACTTAGATGGGGCCTGTCTGGAGCGGTGATAAAACCACCTCTGCAGGACCAGTGGGACTGGGTGATGGCAGAGATGCAAGATCTACAAAGAAAAAAAAGCATCTCCTTCTGGCAGGCCCTTTAGGAGCATTCTGTTTGAGGTCTCTTTCAGCAGGCTGAAGAGTTAATGTCACAGCCAGAGCATGACTGGCAGGGGGAAAGGCCACCACCCTTTTCCTTGCCCTAAAAGGTGATGTTTTATGTGAAAAATTAAATTAGCAGGGATATTTAGTAATGAAGAAAGGAGACAGATTTCCTTTTGACCTCTGGCCCCTTCCTGCTTCCCACACCCAAGGATCCTGCAGCCAGGGCTCCTTCCTTCTCCTCCCTTCCTCCTCCTGCCCCAAGGAAAGGACCAGGAGAAGCAAGTATTTATTCACAGTGCCTGTTACGTCAGGAGAATGCTCTGGATGCACTGAGATCACCGTGTATTTTCCTGAGCAAAAACAAAAATATATTTAAAAGTTGGCTCTTCTTTTCTTTTACATCAAATTAACAACTTTGGTCTAGGGAGGGAATTTTACCCATGTCGAAACATCATAGGCTCGGGGTGGTGTGGGGAACTTGTCACATCTCTCCGGAAAACACTAGCACCCTCCATTCCAGCTTTCCCTATCTTGATGCCATCCAGATGTGTTGGATTGCAGGGCCCATAATCCACAGCAAAAGGCAGAATTGCTTGGTGTTGATGTGAGCTGTAGTCCAACATATGTGGAGGGCATCAGGTTGAAGAAGATTCTGTCTATGCAGATAAGTAGTTGGTGATGCAATCTTTATTGATCTTGTAAAGGAGTAAAATTGTTTGCCCCTTGTAACTCCTTCAATCTCTTATATATTTTGGTAGGGTTTCGGGGAGTGAAGCAGGCTCCCTTTCCCAGTTCCTATTATTGAAGTAGCATAGTTAAATAAATCCTGGAGCATTTATGTTTGGAGTGAGGCAATGTCTCGTTTGTAGACATCCAGATCATTCGATTTGGACTCGTGCTTAAGGATATCATTGTTCGTCCCCTACTGGAGGGATCACAGGCAATTCCTTTGGTCACCCCTGCCTATAATGTCTTGGCCACGAGGGACCCCTGAGCTGAAGGCATGGGTGTGGTTTTCAGGGGCCAGAGGAGTGGTGATTTAAGACAGAGCATGACCCGGCAGCAGTCCACAGCCTATCCAGGACCAGGCTGCAGACATGGATCTCCTAACCCCAGTGAGTTGCCCCCCCCCACGAGTGCCATTGCACACATGCACGTGAGCACATTCCGCCCCCTGTGAGTGCGCTTGTGCGCATGCACGTGAGCACCTCCCAAACGGTCCGCAGTTGGGAAAAGGTTGGGGACCACTGATTTAAGAGAGAATTGCTACCGCTGCTCTCCTGCTTCACCTCTGCCTGGTGACTGATCACATGGCAGCACAGTTGAGGCAGCATTATCTCTTCCCCTGGAAAATGCTCAGTTTGGATGGGTGCTTCCTAGTATTACAGTATTTTCCCCCTCCAGGCAACAATCCCTTCAAAGCACAATCAGACTTGCACAGGAAGCCTGTGTTTGTCTCCCAACGACTGTCCAAAAAAACAAAATTAAACTAACAAAAAGCAGGTTCATTTGCAAAATGTGAAGAAGTTCACTCTAGGTCAACCATGTTTGTTATCATTTCAGGGAGCCCCCATTCCAGTGATGTGCTAACTGTATCATCTAGTTTGTGCCTCAGCTTTTATTTAAGGGCTGTGGCTGGTAAGGAAGGCAGTGTCCCGCCTCAGAGGGGCGTGGCACCTGTCAAAAATGAGTTTGATGAAGGCTACCCCTTTCTGATGGCCTCTGCACAGAAATTCTCTTGAATAAGGCAGATGATGACTACGCCAAGGAAAAAGCACAATGAAGCCACTGAAAAGAGGAGGGCATTATCATCCTTTGCCCTAAGGGAATTCTCACCCGTTCCTTGTTTTTCTTTTTGTCTCAAGCCAGTGATCCACTGCTTTGTGTACAAGACAGGATGAGTGTCTTTTAGTGCTATGCATATGCTGATGAGTAGTTCCTTAATCAGGATATACTAGAACTGCACAACTTGTGAGCTACTGTGTTCCCCCAAAAATAAGACACGGTCTTATATGCATTTTTTGTTCCAAAAACCGCATTAGAGCTTATTTTCAGGGGATTGTTTTTAATGTGCAACAATCTACATTTATTAAAATGCAGCCATGTCATCTTCTGGTTGCTGCACAAGGGTAGAGGGCAGGGTTTCACTTAACTTGGGCTTATTCTTGGGATAGGGCTTATATTGCGAGCATCCTGAAAAATCATACTAGGGCTTATTTTCAGGGGATCTTATTTTTGGGGAAACAGGGTACCAGATGCAACCCCTCTGTTATGGCTTGCCAGATCCTTGAAAGGGCTAGCAGTACAGGCAGGGTGTTTATCAAGCTCTGAAGAGGCTGTATTTTGCTCGCTCTGTCACAGGTTGTACAAGCCTGATGCATATGCATTGTACAAGCCTGATGCATCGGTCACAGGTTGTACAAGCCTGATGTTTTCCTTTCAGCACATACAATGGCATCCACACTCTCTTGGGGGGGAAAATGTCAGTAGTGTTCCTTAGCTTGGTGCAGCTTTTTTAAAAAAATAAATTAAATTTAAATTCAGCCTTTTCTAGGGAGGTGGAGATAATTTTAGCTGGGATGGGCAACTTTCAGAGGTTTAGGGGTTGCAGATACCTATCTCTGGACATTGGAAGACCACTCTCCTTTCTGTTACACAGATCTCAGTCCCCAACATATTTTCTTACAAAATGCTGTTTTAAAATGAAAAGTCCCCTTGCATTGTTTGGTGGTCAAATAGAAGGTTAAATTGCACTTCACACCTCGTAGAAGACACAATCAGCTTTTTGAGCCTTTTTTTGGCCTGAAGTGGGTGGATCCTTGGGCATTGGAGAGTGCGGGGGGGGGGTCTTCCATTTTAGATCCTACACTTACAGGCTTTATGGTGCCACTATAGTTAGACCAAGAGGAAGCAACATAATGGGCTAGAGGCCAGTTTTCTGCACTGGGTACCGTCTGGAGGTGGCAGAAGTTGCAGAAAGTGATAGATGAAACTGCAAATGACTAGATGTCCACCTTCAGTTTTGGCAAAAAAAAAGGGGGGGCATTTTAAGTTCACCACTTGTGGAGAGTCCCAGGAGCTGCAAATCATCCTTTTTTGTCAGAAATTTCTGGGGTAGAACAGGGCTGGGAGCTGCAAAAACATACTTGACAGGCCACATGAGCCCCAAGGCCACATTGTTCTTCACCCTTACTTCAGACATCAGTATGGTGTATAATGCTTGAGTTGTGAAGCCTCGAATGAACACTTCCTCTGCCTGTGTTAACCCATGCTTTACAATTGCTTCCACATTCCTGATACATTAGAGCAAAACACAAAACAAAACAAAAAAACAGAATATTTTCCCAACACTTCCTTTAAAACGGAAAGAAAGTGCTCTGCATTAATGGTTTTGCATTTTAAATCAAACAATCATCAGTTTGCTCCTTCCACAGGACATGTTTACATGGGAGTAAGAACCATAAAATGTACACCTGTAATCATACACAGCCTCAGGCTGTTTATGTGTTTTTAAACATAAAAGATGTGCAGTGTCTGTATCAGCATCCTACTTCCTAGGCTACATGCTCAGGCATGGCCCATTTGGTGCTGTCTCATCATCAGTTGCTCCCTGGGTCACCCTTTGGTAAGTGGGAGGGGTGAACTGAGCTGGCCATGATGCCCTGGATTTCAGTCATGTGGTCCATCCCCAGTTGCTTCTCCCATCTGTTGAGGTCCATTCCTAAGGCCTTCAGATCCCGCTTGCAGATGTCCTTGTAACGCAGCTGTGGTCTCCCTCGGGGGCGGCTTCCCTTCACTAATTCTCCATACAGGAGATCTTTTGGAATCCGACCATCAGCCATTCTCACGACGTGCCCAAGCCAACGTAGACGGCGCTGTTTCAATATTGTGTACATGCTGAAAATTCCAGCTCGTTCTAGGACTACTCTATTTGGCACTTTGTCCTGCCAGGTGATACCAAAAATGCGTCGGAGACAACGCATATGGAAGGTGTTCAGCTTCCTCTCCTGCCGTGCACAAAGGGTCCAGGACTCGCTGCAGTATAGGAGTGTGCTCAGGACACAGGCTCTATAGACCTGGATTTTGGTGTATGCCGTCAACTTCTTGTTAAGCCATACTCTCTTTGTGAGTCTAGAGAACATGGTAGCTGCTTTCCCAATGCGTTTATCCAGCTCGACATCTAGGGAGAGAGTGTCAGAGATTGTTGAGCCAAGGTACACAAATTCATGAACAACCTCCAGTTCTTGCATGGAGATAGTAATAGAGGGAGGTGAGTCCACGCCCTGGATAACCAAAACAATAGTGACATCATTACACTATATTGAGCCACATTCCTCTAATAATTGTTTTTTTAAAAAAAAAACTGGCCTGCATCTAATGCGTGGGAGAGGCCTTTCCTTTTACAAGAGTCCTCAAAATAGAATCTTGTCTTGGTGTGTGCACATTCAAGGATCTCAGGAGCCACTTCGATTTCTACTAAAACTTGATACCCGTCAACTGGGGCGAGTGCAAAACAATGGTTCTAAGGAAGAAGGTGTTATCTGAGTACACCTTCACTCCAGAGACTTGTGATCCATACCAGAACCAAGAGCGTAATTTCTTCCATACAAATTTGATTCCTGGATTTCCCTCCAGTGTTCTTTGTCAGCAGGTTTTGTTGTGAGCTAGGGAAAACCCTTTTAGTTATTGCTGTTTTCTGAAAACGGGTAATCGGAACCCCATAGTGATCTAGTGCAGATCAACAGAACAACTGAGTAAAAGTTGATACCAATCTACCTTCTGCCTGCACAAAACCTTTCTCTCCTTTGCCATCTGTTGATTGAAAGGTAACTGCTTGGGTGGATGATCCATAGTAAAATGTTTGGCTGCATCTTGAAGCAAAGAGGAATCATAAAAGCTTCCTGCTTTGTTTTTGTTTGGTGTCATTGCTGTTCTGTAGCCAAAGCTAATGCAAATCTTTCTTCCTGCTGTTGCCAAATTTCAGTGATCAGCCTTCCAAAGAACTGAAATGGAAAGGAGGAACCTCTAACAGAGTATGTTATTGTATAATATTGTGCAATGTGCTCAGTGCCATTCCTGACCCAGGAAAACAGATGTGTATTATATGGGTTCTGGGATTATTATTATTATTATTATTTTTACAAAAGAACCACAACTATGTTACAGATAATAGTATACAGATTCTAATGTAAAATCTAGCCCAGGAAAACAGATGTGTATTATATGGGTCCTGGGATTTTTATTTTTTTATTTTTTACAAAAGAACCACAGCTATGTTACAGATAACAGTATACAGATTCTAATGTAAAATCTAATACCTTATGAAAATTCTTCAGGATAATGGTTCTTATTTTAAGGAGCTCTTGTGGCTGCTGGGGAGAAAAGGACTTTAAGCTATGTCACAATTTCTAATAAAGACTTAAAGGAGCAAGAAAGGCTGTGGTTCCAAAACACTCCAGTCCCAAAAAAAAGATCCCCAACATAGCGATGTGAAATCCATGGCAGCCTTGGAACCGCCATAAATAATTCCTTTACTATTGCTTTCAAAGGCAGGGAGAAGGAAATGACTGTTTAAATGCCATTCCTCCTTTTGGTTATAATTGCTCTGTCAGGACTTGGGTAATTTGCAGAAGCTCCTGGAGATCTCAGAAAAGGAGGCGCTGAAGATGCTCCTTGGCGGTTGCGTCCTGGGCCAAACACGGTGACAGATGATCAGCCTTTGCATAGAACTGCATCCCATGAATCTGATCATATTTTAACCAAGGCCTTTATATAACTTGTGTCCAACTAATTACACTGTTCTGGTTTAATGAGGGGCAAAGCAAAGAGGAAGGTAGCACAACTTTCACACCAGTGAATTACATCAGGATGTCAGGCCTTCATCAACAAGCTAAACTAAAACTTCCCACACTGTTGTCTAACAATACAGTAATACATCAGAAAACTATCTCATTTTGTTTTGCTTCTGCTGATTAATTCCTTGCCCGTAGAGTTCCAGAATGTCACAGCCAGCTCTGGAGTTCAAAACATCATTTGCTCTCAGACCAGCTCTTCCAAGTCAGTTTGTGAGATCCACTCCACTACAGTAACGTTTGCCTGCAGGGTATTTCCTGTTCTTGAGCACTCCGTTTGACATACAGTGACACTTTTTGTCTTGGCTGCTATTTATAGACTTCTGGTTGCAAAGTTACAGAATTAAACCTCAGTATGTTGGAGAGAAGTGTGCATGTCTGATTCTTCAAAGATTAGCAGCATGTTTACTTAGCAGCATTCATTGGTATTCAATGGGATTTTACTTTAAATATATATATAGGTGACATCTGCAATAAAGTTTTGCAGGGCATGGCTACTTCCTATTCAAGTGCTGTAGTTCAGGGTTCTAAGCAGCCAACTCTGTCCTCCTCCAGGGTATGCCATGCCTCCCCCTGCCCATTTTCTGTTATTTTTTCCAAATGGATGGTCTGTGAGTATTAAGCATGTTCCTTTCTCAATAAACTGTGGTGGGAGGAATTGCCCTCTTGGTTAAAAAGAAGTATTTCCATAAACCTTGGGATACAATATTTATCTGTCTCTTTATTTATTAGATTTGTACCCCACCCTGCTAGTGGCAAGCCATTACTCTAGGCAGGTAGAGAAATACCTCTGTTTTGTTTCTTACTGCTGGCATTTCAATTGCTTTCCTTTTGGTATTAATTCCCAGGGTCTTCTGTTAGAGGGAGTGATTGGGTTGCTGTCTTAGGCACACAGAAATAAGCCCCACTTCATTCAGCAAAACTTATTTCCAAGTAACGCTGTCTAGGATTGGGTTGCATCTCTCCTCTTTTCTGCTTGGAAACTACGTCCCAGCAAGCATGTGCACAATTGTGGTGGTAATGGAGAGGCTGCCCCTCACAGGAATTTGCTTTGCCATACTCCGTGGGTGTGGGAGAATTCAGATGTGCAGTGCGTACTGTAGGTAATGAGCACCCAGAATTTGACTACATGTTTCATAGTCCAAAGGTGAAGGGGAAAGTAAACTTGATCTGTTAAATTAAAACCCTCCTCCTACGCATCTCATACTGCAGACTCCAGCATTCTCCAAATACCTTTATCATCCCACTAACAGAATTGCTGCTGCTGCTGCTGCCGGGCCAACACTTGAGATGGTGGTGGAGAGAGGTTAGGTGCAGCCCTTGGAAAATAGATTTCTATTCAGCAGCTGCAACAATATTCGTTCTTAACCTTATTTGCTATTAAACAACAAGGTAGAAGGATATAAAGAGAAAGATCTGAGATTATGGTGAAGCTGCCAACATTGTAAAAAAAAAAAAAAAAACTTTTTTTCCCCATCTGGAGCCTGTTTAGTTTCAGGTTGCTTTCCAGTGTTGATTGGGGTGGGGTATTTGCCATCCTTTGGTGAATGTTACTGTACTTCTTGTTGCGCCCTGCAGTGTTTTCATTTTCTATTCAGAAAGGCAATACTCCTAATTAAAAAGCCATCTTACATTTAAGGAGGGGTGCATAAAGTGTGGGCTTCTAGATGCTGATGGACTACAAATCCCAGCATTGCTGACTATTGGCTTCGCTGGCTAGGACTAATGTGAATTGCAGTCCAACAACAACTGGAGGATTGTGTTTAATCAGTCCCTACATTAAGACAGGCTATAGGTTATTTCACACATTGTGTTTTTGCAATTAAAAACCTGCACCTTCATTCTGTGTGAGTGTCATTTGCTAGCATGTGTTGATGAAAATGGACAACAAGGCATGGTTCATAAGCGTGTTTGCCAAGAGTCTAGTCACATGTCTGACTCGAAACCCTGTAGATTACAGAGGCTGTCTGTGACTGTTATCTGTTTATGCTCAGAGTTTATTGAATTTGCCCTGAAACAAAGAATTACAAGGAGTGGCATTGTCCACACACAGGTTTCCAAAGAGACATATCTTTTTCATGCCTGTTTAGTGGTGTAGTGGATAGAGTAAGGGACTAGGACTCTGCAGACCAGGGTTCGATTCCACACTTAACCATGGACACTCAATAGGGGAGTGGAAGTGGTAAACCCACTTCTTAAATATCTCACTTACCTTGAAAGCTCTATTAGGGTCGCTATATGTTGGTTCCAGCTGGATGGCACCTTACTGTTTGTGGCATGCATAGTCATGTGTCACCTCAAAGTAAAGATACATTTCAAGCATCACCCCCCCCACACACACACACACACAGAGCACAGGCATTCTCATCCATTGCCCTCCTGGTATCCTGTGGCATGGGAACCTCCTCAGTCCATACATGTGGGCTGAAGTCTTGTTGCTTAACTTAGCCAGTCGCAACTAGAGTATGTCCATTGAATCAGTTGCAGAGGAGTTGATTCACCAAATCCCTACTGATTCAATAGGCCTACTCTAGTTGTGGGAGGATGGGATTCTGGGTATTGGGATCCACTGTGCTTAGCCTTGGGCTATTGTATGTTTAGACGCATAAGGACTTTCCCCCAGATTAGCTATTTAGTCCAATTTCACTCTAGCCACGGTTTTATCTTCCAGGCTCCCTCCGGGGGTTTCCCTCCTCCTTGACAGGCATAGACCTTCTCCTAGTCTCCTATAGGCCATTTCTGCCTGTGATTTTAACCATGCCTTGTCCTCTTCCCTTGGGCTTGGGCCTTTAGCATTAGTATAAAATCTTCATGCTTTTCCAAGCTTCTTCCGAAAATGTCTACTCATTGGCTTCAGACAGTCCAGCCAGATGCCTCCAGCCAACTACGTTCTGAGCGGCTAAAATTCCATCACTTCCCTGTTTTATAAACCAAGAACCAACATGTGATTGTGGAATGTCCACTTTACTCCTCATCAGAGCTTACTAGATTAGATCCCGACACTTATCATATAAGGTAGAAACCAGCCTCATAAAATTGGTTTTATTGCAAGTCTGGCAGTTTAACAACTGTTTGTCAATCTGGCAGCCTGGCCTTTAAACCCTGTCCCAGCAGAACATACACTTCTCATATGTTTTAGAGTTCCTTCTCATAGACAACAGCCGATAACATTTATTTTTTTTCACTACACTTTTGACACTTTCTTCACGTCCCAATTCCTGCCCAAACCTTAACAAATCTTTTAAACTGGAATCTGGTGCTGAGTGTGTTTCAGCTGCCTGTCAGCTCACTTATATCCATATTTGATTAAAGGGGAGTAAAAAAAAAATGGAACACTGGATTTTCGGTTGTTGTCCACATCCTTTGTCTTTGGAGCCCTCGTTTGTCCTGGACACAATATGAATGGAGTGACTGGTGGCGGCATCTAATCATCATCATCATCACCTCAGAACTGCAGAGCTGGAAGGGACCCTATGGATCATCAAGTCCAGTCCCTGTCAAGGAGGCACTGTGGTGGTGGTGGGAATCGAACTCCCAACCTCTGGCTCCTCACTGAACAATCCGGCAATAATAATCATCAGGGCTGTCAAGTCAATTCTAACCTTTGATTTCATAAGGAAATAAAAGAGGCACCTGCTGGCCCAAGATGTTCTGCTCCCTGAAGCAGAGCAGCAAACAACCCCTCTCTCTTCAGGTACACAGGGCCCAAAGCAAGCCGCGCTATCCAGGCTCCTGAGATAGAAAATCCAAGTAGTACCCCTTTCATCTCCTTGGCAGTAAAACACAATAGGAGTTAATTAACAGCTAATGACGTAGTGCCCTTTCATGATACACCAAGTTTGGTTCCTGGGACAGCTGTTTCAGAGAAAGATCAGCAAATCCCATTCTACCCTGTACTATCTCCAAACAGATGGAGTGGCTTTCTTCACAAATTTCAAAGCCAGTTTTGCCTTTACCCCTGAAAACACAAAAGAAGAAGCTTCACTTTCTTTGCCCTAACACCCGCTCCCAAATTCAATGAAACATTATGTCCCCTAAGTTTCTTCCCCTTAAACAGGCTTTCTAGGGCTCAGCCCTTGCACTCTCTGAAGATCTGCCATCTACCACCACCATTTCACTGGCTATAGTATAATGGCAGAGAAGCCCCTGCAGGTGATCTCACTATTAGCTTCTTCCCTGTTCGGGAATGTAATGGTGCCATAACTGTGCCGTGTGTGTGATAACTAGATTTTTCAAGTCTTCCCACCACAAACTTGCCTGTTTGAAGAAGAACTGCCCTCTCATTCAAAAACACGGCAGTGAAGGTCTTCCATAAGCATGGAGCCCTTGTAAACCCATCTACCACAGAGTATGTAAATATAACAGTACTGTATCTCCTTTGGACAAATCATATGCAGGATCCCCACCCCAACCGCTAGGTCCTCTGCGCTGGAGGAGGCAAGAACAGCTTAAGTGCTGAAAAGAACATTTTGCAGCATTCATTCATTCATTCATTCATTCATTCATTCATTCATTCATTCATTCATTCATTCATTTATTTATTTATTTATTTATTTATTTATTTATTTATTGCATTGACTTACTCAGCTCCTGTACCACCCGTCTGGCTACCAAGGCCACTCTGGACAGAGGGAATAAGTGGTCTGTTAAGGCCTGTCCATGAAGGTACAGTTATAAGAATACTTTTGGTAGCCCTTTGAAAAAGTCTTGAAATTCAATAGAATTACTGGCCACAGGGCATGCATTCTTCTAAACAACTGCCTGGCTTCTCACCCTCTGTGTTCCCTCTCCCTGACATTTGCCTTTTACTTGCTTGTTCAGTTTATGTGATATGGAACAGCTACTGTCCTTTCTTTCTTTTACAGCCTGGAAAGCATTAATAGCCTATTAAACATCCATTTAGGCCTAAAACAAGTACAGTATGCAAAGTAAACAAAATCTTCTCAAGAAAATGTGCTGCCTCTAAGCAAGATTTCTGCGAATGGCCTCCCACTTCCTCTTCCTCGACTAGGAAATTCAGACCCACAGAGAGCCCTTGTACTGCTCGGCGAATGGATGGGATATGCTTTGCAACCTAAGCTATGGTGAAGTTGTCACAAGGATAAAGGGATGCGATGCAAAAGGGCAAACAGCTCCTGTCTACGGAGCATCTATGCAAAACTGGAGATTTTAAAGTAGGGATCAGATGCCCTGAATGAAATGCTCTGACACTGAAGCCGTATCAGACGGGGGCTGTGGAAATTCCAAACAGTTTGGGCAGAGGGTCTCATCCTTAATGGGAGGGGAGGTGGCTTCGTACCTGCTTATGAGCCTGCTGTGAAGCAGATGCTGACTTCTCACCCTGACAGGCCAAAATGCACAAGCAAGATCACCGCTGATTCATCCCCGCTCAAGAGTTTCATTCAACTCCGGCTTCCGTCCAGCGGTTAAGCCACCTCTAATTAAAGATCAACTGGGTCACGATTGCCACAGTTATTAAATACTGGGGTGTGCACTTAGAGAGCCGATACTGCCCCGCCTATGCCTTAATTAATACATACACTCCCATCTTTCGCGGCACACGAATAATATCTCCGAAAAAAAGTCTCCGGAGAAAAATCCACGTGCTACGACAAGCCGTTTGCAACGTCGCCCCTTCATTTTCCTTCAGCCGGGCGCGTTCCCTGGACGGAAGTGTGACAAAAAAAGTATCATTTCACCGCGCGCGCCCCCAGTCCCGCTCCGTAACATTCCTCTCCTCTGTGGGAGAGAAAGACAAAACTTTCTTCGAACCCCCAAAGCGACCAATGAAAAAAGAGCGACGCCTTCCCCTTTTTTTATTTGCATAGTCCAACCTTCCTTCCGCGTTTCTGATTCGGTCTTTAACGCTGAGGGGCGTGCTCTACGGGGCCCAGCCTCTCCTTCTCCGGAACCTCATTGGCCCGACGAGACCCTGCGGGACTAGCGCCCGCCCCCTTGATAAACTGTCAATGACAGGTCCGGGGAACGCTCAGACCTCGGGTCAAGCCGCGATTGGCGGAGCTTTGGGATCTCTGTGGCGGGTCCGCCCCGGGAACACCTGCTGTTGCCTCCGAGCCGGGCGGCCGGAACTCTCCGCGCCCCTCCCACGAGATCGCTTCCCAGGGGGGGACTTCGCCTCTTCTTGCCTGCCTGCCTGCCTGCTTGCCTGCCTGCGCAAAAGCTCCTTGAGGCTCCGGGGACGCCCGTCGAGAGGAAGATGGACCAGGGGGTCGGGAGCGCGCAGCGGCTGTTGCCCCGGCTGTGCTGCCCGGAGAAGGGGCCGAACGGCTACGGCTTCCACCTGCACGGGGAGAAAGGCAAAGTGGGCCAGTTCATCCGGCTGGTGGAGCCCGATTCGCCGGCCGAGAAGTCCGGGCTGCGGGCCGGCGACCGCTTGGTGGAAGTCAACGGCGAGAACGTGGAGAAGGAGAGTCACCAGCAAGTGGTGAACCGCATCCGGAGCTCGCCGGGCTCGGTGCGCTTGCTGGTGGTGGACGCCGAGACCGACGAGCGGCTCCAGAAACGGGGCCTCCAGTGCCGCGAAGAATTCACTCGGGGGCTCCCCGAAGAAGAGGAGGAGGAGGCGGAGGCGGAGGAGAAAGAGAAGAAGAGCGACAGCCCGGAGCCGCGGGAGGTCCCCCTCCAGCCGGCGGAGCGGGAAGCGGAGCAGAAGAAAGCCGGCGGCGAGGAGGAGGAGGAGGCAGCGGCGAATCACGCTGCCCAGCGGGTAAATATCTAGGTCACTTCTGGGAAAGCGGGGCGGAGAGCCCCCCCCCCTTTGCTGGGAGGTGAGAAAGGACCGGCGGGGCGGGGAACCGAACCCATGGTAGGGAAGGGGTGCCTTAAAAGCCTTTCCTCTCTTCTCTCCCCCCCCCGGGCTCGGCGGGCGCCTGGATCCCCCTCGGAGCCATTTC